AATTTATACAGTGTAATAATTTTTTACGAATACTTTTGTGATGTGAATTTGCCTAGTTTTTGAATTGAAGTACTATTTGGTTATGTTGTCGTTCGAAAAAAATTTATGTTTCGCTTTTAAATAAAACTATAAGCSATAATAAACTAATTAAAATAGTTTTTGAATATTAACTGTAAATTGAAAGAAAATGCTGATACTCTTATTTCGGAAAAATATTTTTCCGAATACTTTTGTGTGTCACTGTATATATAGTTGCCGCTGACTTATAGTTTTAAGGATATTTGCATTTAAAGTTGAATAATTTAAAATTTTTACATTGATAATTTGTTTATTGTGAATATCTTTTTCACTTGTATTTTGCACTTTTCACTTACTAACACTTCACTATAACGGTTTGTATATTCATTTTTTTAATATTTGTTATAAATAAAGCTTTATTTTAATTATTTTATTTTAGTTAAATTCACTGCTTTTGCACAACAAGAATAGGGTTGCAAACTAGCAAATAAATGGTATTGCCATATCTGCCTAGTTGTCAACAAAAGAAAATAAGCAAAAACTTTATAAYCCAAGTACATAAAATATGTTAATATAAAAAATATTTTGYCATAAATAAAAGCAAAAACAAATTTAAGGTTTATAGGTATGTTTGATTTGATCTTCATGGTTTCTTCGTATAGTTTTTCGCCGCAGATACTCAATAATCAAATCAGTAAAGTTTTGTTGGTTGGAGTAATTATATTCCCTGCAAAAGTCGGTACATATAATTGACCCTTCCGCCACATGCTTCTTGATAATAGGTATGAGGACCTCAGCAGATCGGGACACACTACCAATCTCAAGTCGTCGCTCCCATCCTCTACCATGCCCAGCACCCAGTGACCTTCAATTCTTCTACCTGAAATATGAGAAAATAAGTTAGTACGTAAAATTGTATATATTATATATAAGAGTATTACCTTTATTGTATTTTCGTTTTCCAAACTTGYTTTCATCAATTTGTACAATTTTTCCGGGACCACCAATTTTCCCCACAGCCTCTTCATGGTCTGTGTGATACAACACAACGGCTTCTCGACAATAGCTGTACAAATCGCATATGGTGGGTGTAGACAAAGTAGCTATAAAGCTGTTTTTTCGGGCTTCGGTCTCGCACCAATGAGAAGCGTATGCGAACATCAGATAAAATATCTGAGGCAATGGTATCTTCGCATTTTCAAACCAAGTGCCTTTGGCCCTCGATACAGCAGACAACGAACGGCAACTACACCTACGGCATATAAAAGACTCCACCGTATTATTCCCCGATAGAGTAGGAATCATGGGTATTTTATGGTTGCGGCATAATTTATTGCTTAAAATTAAGCCCTCTTCTTCCGCAAAGGCAATGCACTTCTCCSTAGTGCTAAACATCTCCACAACTTTGGTTATGTTCCATATTTTTCTTAGTTCTGCAACGGTAAGAACACTTTTACGTACACAACGGCTGGTTGGAAGGTTTCATCGAAATCTACAGTGAATACTTAATTAAAAATTTATAAATATTTGATAACGATCGTTGTGCACACATTTTATACTTTTTTCTTAAAAAAAAACTAAATTGAAGAAATTGGAATATATAAAAATCACTATCCACACTTGTTAATTGCTTCGCCAAATTTAAAAGTAAAAGCGAAACAAAAAAAATTATACTTTTGTATCCACTAACACTACATTAATTCATTTATAATCATTTATTTTATATTAAGTAGTGCAAAAAAACTTTAATTCCATATCAAACATTAGTTAAAATCCATTTATTCATAAAATAAGAAAGTGGTTGTAAACAGGCAATAATTAGTGTTGCCATATTTTATAATGGTATAAAAATAAGAAAAAAGAAAGATTATGAACGCCAAAAGGAGTTCAACGCCAAAGAACTGAGCACGCCAAGGTGTTGGTCCGGATTTTGAAGCGCGGCCGAAGGCCACCAATACAGAAAGAAATTCTATGCGGAAAACTAATGTGTTATATATTTCCTGCCATTGSGGTCTTAGTTGTTTTCTTTAGTTCTTTTTTTCTTTGGAAAACTATGAACGTAAGGTAGCACTGGTTATTAGTTAGAATGCAACCCTTTTGTTATTGTATGAACAAAAATAAATGAACAAAAGTTAAATGTTGAATAAAAGTTATTTTTGCACTATTTAATATAAAATAAATGGTTACAAACAAATTAGTGAAGTGTTAGTGGATATAAAAGTTAAAAATATAACTRTAAAATGAAACTTAAATGCAAATATCTGAAAAACCGTAAATCAGCGGTAACTATATGTATATATTTTCTTAATCTTTAGGACCTCCTCTATCCATACATACCCATTTTAACCCCGAAGTCGGCGGATCCTATTCTAAAATTTATCCCAAAAAGTTACTTTCTATTTGAAAATCAAGAGGAAATACTTTGATAAGGTACTAAAAGTTCAGGCACAATTCCGATTTCTTTGGCGTCGCGATCTGAAGGTCCCGTTGGAAAGAGGAAGTCCTCTTGATTAAAAAATATATAGMTACCGCAAACGCTTAGTTTAGGAGATATTCGACCTTAAAGTTTAAAAATTCCCAAAATTCGTACATTTCAAGAAGYTATTTCACCACATTAAACACACTTTGTTCACAGTTTTCATTTCAAATTGATTAAATTACACTATAAATTTGTAAATAAATTCATATTTTACACTTTTAGCAGGTTTTTTACCTAAAAAATATTTATTTTAAAAATTACATTTTACACTCGTTTGAACCTCATTTGTTTACCAAAAATTACGACGAAATGGAGCGCTACCATGTAATGATCAGGCAATTCGCCGAAATTCCTCTATTCGTGTATATGGGTATTTTCTTTTTTAATTTTATTAAGCAAATAAATAATATTATATACATATTTTAGTAATATTATATAATAATATTACGTAATAAAGTGTAAGTATATTAGTACAGTACCAAAATTCAAATTTTCGTTCAATATGAGTGCATGGTAACCAACAAATATAACCACTTTATATCCAAAACTCAAATTTTAAATATAAAAATTGATGTATCGTCACCTAAAATACAAAACAGTGTATAATCAAAAATAAATTGAAGTTGCTGACAGATATAATAACTAAATTTTATACGTTTTATAACGAAAACTCAATTTTTTTTCAAAATGAGTGCATGGTAACCAACAAATATAACCACTTTAACCACTTTATAATAAAAGCTCAATATATATTTTTTTAGTTTTAACGCAGAAAGGAGTACTACGCGAAAGTACTTCAGCCCCCCGGGCATTCGCTCGGCAAGGGGTTTTTTTTTAAAGCGCGGCCGAAGGGCTATCCGGTCAGGCGATGTTGAGCTCGAAATATTTAATATATACATCCCCCCAGTTACATGTTGCCCTACAGGATATCACTCGAATATAGGTGCGCTACTTCGTTATGAAAACCGTTTAGTACTAGGCGACTTTAACGCGCATTACGTTTTTTGGCATTCCTGCCTGTCAAATGATCGTAGGGGGATGGAGCTGGCAGAACAGATTGGCGATTCGGCATTCTGCGCAATGAATGACGAAGCCCCTACCACAGTTATGATCACCTGTAATAGCTCGCCTGATATTACCATCGCTAGTGGTGGTCTGATAAATAGCATAACCTGGCGACCTATGCTAACTTTCGCATCAAACCATCTGCCCATAATTATCTCGATCCAGAAGCCTCCTGATTTTTTTTTCTGTGGACAACCGCACCTTCGTTAACTTTCACAAAGCTAATTGAGTCACCTTCACAGAATTTATCGAGAGCACCTCCAACGCTCTACCCATTCCTACGGACGTACGCGTTGGCGAGCRTCAATTCCCCAAGGTGATCGCAGCACCTACCGCTCGCTTCATTCCGGCTGGAGGGATAGCGGTAATTCGCCCCAATTTCCCAGCCGAAGCAGCCGTTTAAGCTAATGAGCGCGACACCTTACGCCATGCCTATCCCGGGGATCTCCGATTAAGGGATCTCAATTTGGAGATTCGGGGTATGGTAAACCACCATAAGCGGACGAAATAKATAGAGCACCTGAAGTCCTGCAACCTCTCCACCGGTGTGAGTAAGCTTTGGACTACTGTCAAAGCTTTGTCTAATCCGAGGAGACATGGCGACCGAGTTGAAGTTCAATTCAATGATCATGCCTCCTCGGACCCGGAGAAGTGCGCGAGCTATTTTAGCTGGCAGTTTACACTGCACCCTTCGGTAGACAAAGCCAAGAGATGTGTTAACCGACGGCTGCGCAAAATGCCAAGCAACTGCGCACCTCTTACTTTCACCGATGAAGGATTCAGAGTGTCATCAGTAAGGCCAAATCCTCCAAAGACGGGAGTAAGTTATCTCACCAAGGTCCTCAATCTGTCACTGACCGCTCTTCAAATACTGGATGTGTGGAAAATCGGAAGAGGGAACCCAAACTGGGAAACCCGCCAACAAAGGGAAATCTTATCTCCCGATAGCTCTCCTCTCCCCAGTAGTGAAGACACTTGAGGCTGCTCCTGACCTTCACTCACCACCTAAGCCTAGCCAGTCACCAGCATGGATTCCGTAAAGTGCACAGCACCACCACAGCACTTAGCGTCATAAACGCTCAGATAGTCCGTGGCCTCAACCAGAAACCACCGTGTGAGAGAACGATCCTCGTAGCGTTGGACTTGTCGAAAGCTTTCGACGCAGTCAACCACACAACGCTACTGCAGGACATTGAAAAAACTTCGCTCCCTCCAGGGCTCAAGAGGTGGACCATGAACTATCTGAACGGTCGTTAGTCATCCGTACTATTTCGAGGTGAAATATCTAAACTGAGAAGAATTAAACAGGGGGTTCCGCAGGGTGGTGTGCTCTCTCCATTACTCTTTCACTTCTACATCTCGAAACTCCCACAACCACCAGAGGGGGTTTCCATAACCTCGTACGCAGATGACTGCACGATATTGACTGTAAAGGAACATAATGAACTTCTCTCCAAACAGTTCCTGCTAGGATGTTTTCGTAGCAATCACTCTTTTAGCCATCTGCTTAGACCGGAGCCGCCTCCTAGGAGCATTAAAAAGTCCTACCTTGCCTATGTCGACACCGTCGTACAGTACGCCGACCGGACTTCGGACGCAACTGACTTTCGACAGGTACTGACCGCCATTCACAGTGGAGCCATCAACACCTTCATCGACTCCCTTCCCGTGAATGGCGTTCTTGGAGTCAAATCACCACCTATCGCAGACGAAGAGCTCCAGTTGGCGCAGAAATGCGAGTGACCCTAGCGCAACTTCGTTCTGGATGTTGTAGCAGGTTACACTCCTATTTATCCAGAAACGACCCTGACATACCCAATGTATGTCCTGCATGCAACGAGTCTCCGCATGATACTGCATGCTCCACAAACCCCAATCATCTAACGCCGTCCTCCCTCTGTTCCGACCCCGTCGTAGCAGCACGTTTCCGGGGCCTCCCGTTAGATGATCTCGACGACAACGCAAATGATTCTTACCACCCTAACGGGTATTAGATAACCGTTAAAACAACAACAAAACAACGACAACCAATCAATATTCATCGATCCAATGCTGACAAAGTTACTACTTATCAGCCTCAACAGCATTGTTTATCAGCAATCAACCTCATCAATTTAAGGACATAATGCAGTGGCTAGGATTAATGTAAGTCAGTGTTCAATAAAATGATTTTTTTTCTAAATAGATAAAATAAGAAAAAATTATTAAAAATAAAACTTTTTTATAATAAGGCTTATTTAGGTTCGTAAACAAATGATAAACTTCAGAAGAAATGATATTAATAAATTATAAAAAAAAAGTTTATATTTTTCATCTTTCAAACGTAAAAGAAAGGTAGTGGATCAAAATGAGTCAGGAACAAAAAATAGCAGCGGCATTGTCGAGATTAAATCTGCACTCTTCCAGCACTAACGTTTCCCCTCTAACATCCCTTCCATTTTCACTCTTAACCTTCCTATACCCGCGCACATGTCTGTGAGACCGACGAAACAGTTTTTCGTAAATATTTTTTTTAGGCTGTTTTGGAAAGACTGATAATAATTAAAGTAATAAATAATTTATGTTAACAATTGCTATTTTTTGTTTTATTGCAACCTATATTTCCTATAAAATAAAAAATATATAAACGGTTTTATAGAAAAATAACAAGGTAAGAGGAGTCAAAGTCACGATCTGTTACACCGTGCGCGGGTATAGGTGTTAAAACCTTTGGCGCGGGTATAGGAAGGTTAATCAACAGTTTCGGCCATACTACACCCACAAACCGAAGAAAAAGTTGAACATCCTGTAGATTTTAGCGTTAACCAGAGAACGTATATTTATAGAGAAGGTCCCACAACGGACAAGCATATGAACTGTCAAAAGCCACCAAAATGCGATAAGCGTGTTCCACCACAGCTAGCTAAGAAGGCGAAATGTTTGACAGTGGCGCGTGAACTGAGCTGAG